AATTACAAAAACAGAAATAAAACAAGATACCATTTTTCTTCTAAAATTAAAAACGGGAGGAACGCTTGGCTGGTGCAGTCAGTGGAGACTGTGACTCTCGATCACTGGATTGTGAATTCGAGCCCCGTGTTGGGCAAAGAGCTTACTTAAAGATAAATAGCCAAAAACATTTTTTAAATGAAAAAAAAAAACTGGTAAGAAAAGAGGCACTTGATACTCATTTCTAATGGCAAAAGGACAGGAGAACAGCAGCCCTCACGTGCTGCTGTGGAATTATAAATTTGGCTCCGTTTTAGAGGGCAATTTGGTAATACTTAGCAAAACATTTAATTCTCACATTTGTTGACTGAATTCCACTTCAAGTCCACTCTAGACGGTTCCCCTATGTAAGATACAGTTGTGTGAGTGGGCGAAATGTGAGCAGAACACTCTCTGTAAAAGAAAAAACCGGACAAACTAAACATCTCTACTAAGGTCTGGTAAATAAGGCTCAGGGTCCACGAATCATGATACAATCATAGAGTTGGATGCTCTGTAGCTGGTAAAAGGAATGCAAACAATCTCTATGCACTGACATGGGTACATATCGAAGATGTATCGCTCAATTAAAAAGCCACTTTACCTGTATCCGGGCAATTTCACAGTTGTAAAACTTCCTAAAAGAATATATACGTAGCTTTGCTGTGCAAACAAACTCCCCAGAAGAGAGACAGCAACTCCCTGCAGGAGGCGGCCTCAGAAGGAAGGGTGGAAATGGTGGATTTTATTTCTGACTTCCTACAGGGCCTTGGCCATATTTTATGTAACAATGATGCTGTGTCATAGTCATTTCTCAAGTCCTCCTCCTTCCACTGCCTAGCTGAGACTAGTATACATTATCAGAGAGGACTTCACCATTCGACGTCTGTTTTAATTCTGAGGCTCTTGGAAGGCAGTAGGAGTCAGTGAAGGGGTGAGGGGCAGTGGCAGACCGGCCAAAAGCAAGTCTGAAAAAATTTCACTGTGCACTTTGTGTAAGCAAAGCCAGGGACTCTTCTGTTAATAGCACAGCCAGCTAGCCTGACTGCATTCCTGAACAACTTGCTCTATTTCAGGCCAGAGATGGAGCTCAGGTTGACGTCCATGGTATACCTAATGCACCTGGTGAGTGCCTACCCACTTACTTCCTGTGGCGGGATGATGAATGACCCAAAGACAACCAAGTCCCGACCTCCAGGACGGTGACGATGTCGGGTTATAAGGCAGTAAAGGTACTGAGGTTGCTAGTCAGCTGAGCTTAAAGTAGGGAGATTTATCTTGGATTATTATCTCGGTGGGTCCAATATAACCACAAAGGTCTTTAAAAGGAGAAGAGGGACATAGAAGAGGAAGCCAGAGGTAGACATGACTATGGAAAGAGTCAAAGAGAAGCAATGTTCTTGGTCCATAAGAGAGAGATAGGGACCATGAGCCAAAGAAGGCAGATAGCCTCTAGAAGCTTTGGAAGAGCCAAGGAAATAGACTCTCGCCTCCACCTAGAGCTTCCAGAAAGGAATATAGCCCTGCCAACATCTTAATTTTAGACTTCCAACCTACAGAACTGTAAGATGACAAATTTGTGGTAATTAAGTTGTTAAATTTATGGCACTTTGTTATAGAAGCACCAAGAAACTGAAACAACTCACCGAGATCTCCTTTATTTCTCGACACCCCAGACTTCCTCCAGCGGGAGAGCCTGGGGTGTGCTGTAAAACTCCGCCTACCTGGGTGGCCCACCTTAGAGCTGCCCAGTGACCTGGGCCCACACTGCCCACTGGCTGGCTGAGTTTAGGACTTCCTCAAAGAGAACCCAGACAAGGTCCAGCAACACAACTGCCTTGAGGATTATTAAGTTAGTTACATCAGGAGAAGCTGTATTTGAGTAAGTTGTTCATGCAACTCCTTTGGAAATCATGCCTCCCCGTACAAATATATTTGTCATCATCTATACCCAGACTACTCTTCTGAAAGACCAGCAAAGGAGAAATGAATGTCCCTTGAGGAGCCCAGGAGAGCACAGCAACATGTACTCTTATTATGTCTCTGAAGACATTCAGATCCAGGGATGGGGAATGTCAAAGTACAATGTGAATTAGGGCTGACTTACCACTCACTGAGTACCTAATGTGCCAGGCATTGGGCTGCACACTGAAAATATGGGATCTCATCTGATTCTAATGTTTTCATCAGGAAGGGACTCCACTCATTACTACTGATACACCCCCCCCCACACACACCCATTGCAGTCAGTGAAGGGGATGGGTTTCAGACTGCCCTGTCACATCCTACAGAGGCATTCTGTCATCCTCCATGAAGGACAGCAGCTTATTGGCACTTGGGTGGCTCAGTCCATAAGCATCCGACTTCAGCTCAGGTCATGATCTCGTGGTTTGGGAGTTTGAGCCCCACGTGGGGCTCTGTGCTGACAGCTCAGAGCCTGGAGCCTGCTTCTGATTTTGTGTCTCCCTCTCTCTTTCTCTCTGCCATCCCCCGCTTGGACTCTGTCTCTCTCTCAAAAACAAACAAAATAGAAATTTTTACAAAAGGACAGCAGCTTAAAGTGACATCTACTCTACACCAACATGCTCAAGAGAAGGAAAAGAATATTAGCTTTCCTCCTATTATCCTAGAAATGTAATCATTAACCTTACCCTCCCCAAATACCCCTGGGGCTTTCCAAAACTTTTTACTCCTCTCAACAGCCAAATTATCTAAAACAGAATCCCTCAATGTCTTTATTATTTTTTTTTAACTAAGTAATCTCCATGCCCAAAGTGGGGAATGAACCCAAGACCACAAGATTAAAAGTCACCAACTGAGCCAGCCAGGCGCCCCTCGTGGTCTTTATTATGATTTTGTACTTCATGTTCTATGGACTGCACCTTCAAGGAATCTGTGTTCTAACAGGGTATAAATAAAAAGCTTGCCTTTGTGAGGCAGTCACTCTGATGTTTATAAAGGCTTTCTGCTAAGTCTTGGGAAGCAGCCATTGAGCTGCCTGCCCCTCATGTCTGCAGGGCACAGCGGTCCCCACTCACCTGGGTGAGGACCACTGATGTCACAGAGCAACAGCTCAAATGGCTGGGTATTTTCCCATTATGGAAATTTCTAGATTGCTATATAAAAGCTTATTCTAAATAAGGTTTTCAGGAGCTCCTGGTTGGGTCAGTTGGTTAAGCATCTGACTCTTGATTTCGGTTCAGGTCATGAGCTCATGGTTCATGAATTCGAGCCCCACCTCAGGCTCTGTGCTGACTGCACTGAGCCTACTTGGGATTCTCTCTCTCCTTCTCTCTCTGCCCCTCCCTCCCTCCCTCCCTCTCTCTTTCTCTCAAACTTTATAAACAAACAAACAATGCATCCTAGTAGAACACAAAAAGGCATGTAAACATAAAAGTGTTCCCATCCCGTTTCCATTTCTTTTCTCAATTCAGAACGTGAAACTGGTATCCGTCTGCTATGAGAAAACTTCACAATCCCCAAAGGAGTCCTTTCCTCCCTCAATTGCATAATATGGTTCTTTTTTTAAGTCAGAACTACAAGCTGGTCCTGCATTTTAGTACACGGGCCATTGAAAAGAAATACTGGGGAAGTGAAGCAAATTTTCCAAAACATAACATCATTGGTGGATTAAGGGCCTAGGATGGATTCCAGAGTGACCCACAAATTCTTTGAAACTCGTAATGGGGCTTAAGTACTCAACATTCATTTGCTAGAACGCATGGAGACGTAATACTTTTGCACTATGAATTTTAAAGTAACTCTAAGAAACAAAGTTATATACGTCTCTTATTCTTTTGAAAAGAAAGAAGCTCTGAGGAGATTGGAAAAAAAGGTGAACCGTGACGTACACTGTCAGAGGAGAAAGAAGATGGTGGTGATGGAGTGTCACATGACACCTGACTGCACCTATCACCCAACAGACGCCACCTTGTGGCCCTTGTTTCTTCAACATCTTCAGGGCCAAGGAGAGCTACGGTCCTGAGGTGACTGGGGACAGGATGGACAGCCAACTAGCCATCTGTGACGTATGCTCAAGGGTTAGAGAAGTGGTGTTTTAGGTCCTGTATCCATAGAGTCTGAAAATCACTACGAGGACTTAGCGCTCCAGCCCTCTTATCAGTGCACGCGCAATCGACATTCTGCCTGCTCAGTTGCTCACACCTATCTTCATCACCGAAAACTTAAGAATTTACAATCCTGATTTAGCACCCAGCACGCCCCTGCACTGCACAGGACCACAAGCTAGCCACAGAATTCAATTCAAATCGCAAAAGGGATACAGAATGCATTGATTAATTTGGGCAAAGCCCAGAGTGTATGTGAGAAAAGACTGTACTCTTTTCTCCCATAACATCCTTTCCCCCAGATCATCAATCTCTGAGCACCGACTTTCCATCTCAGGAAAGTGAACGTCATCTGAGGCAGCCTATAAATCACCTTGAGAAGAGTTATTCATTGTGGGCAAATAAAAATGTAAGCCAGGCAGATGGTGAAAAGCTCATTTCTCCTGGTAAAGTTTCACGGGAGGAGGCCGGCAAGGGGTTGTGAAATCTGGGGCCACGTGTATAAGCGGAGAAAACATACCCCCCAAAACCAGAATATTAAAAAAATATCCTACCACATCGTTACAGTCTCTTCAACTCTTCACCTCTGGTTCAGATCTGACTTCCTCCCTCTGTGGCAAGAGCAGTGAGAGGAAGGCAGAGGGAGGAGGAGGAGGAGGAGAAGGAGGAGGAGGAGGGAAAATCCATACTAAACACTGCAGTGTGTTTAAAACCATTCATTCACCAGGTTCAAAGTGCTGGATCCTTTGAGTGCTGGTGCCGGGTAGAACAGATTATACCACTGGGTGCTGATTTTTTTCAGTGGCTCCAGCTCACAATCGTCAAATCCAAGGTGGCCACCTCCCTTTGTGTTTATGTCACAAAGCCACACTGGCTGGGGGAGGGGAGAGAAGGGAGGCCACACGGTGACCACTCCTAAGGCTATCCCTAAAGACCTGCTTACTCCCAATGAATGCTGAAACCCAACGAAAGTCCTGAGACAGACACTACGGGCCTCCAAGAAGGTAGATTTGGGGCCTTCCACCATATTCCCTCTCTCTCTTATAAAAGCAACACCCCGCTAAGAAAACAAAACCTTAGTATCACCCACGAAAAGGGAGAGAGGAAGAGAAGTAGGATGGAAGGATGAGCAAGTCCTTGAAAAAGCAGCATACTCTGAAATGAATCCCCAAAAGCTGCAGAGGAAATTACACCGCCGTCATGCTCCATAGTCGAGAGCTCACTCATGATGCTAGAAACCAAGTTCAAGGAGCCCTTGAAAGATGCACATACGGCTCAGGTCTGTGTGTGATGGTTAAAGTTCTTGTTGGTTTGTTAAGAGAACGGAAAGGGCAAAAAAGTGAGTTTTTTTTGGCAAGAACAACAGCACTCTTAGCCATGGGCCATGGGATGCACAACACACTAGACGGTCATCTCGATTGCTACAAGCCACAGGTAGATTCGAGGTCACATCCCCCAGGACCTACATAGTCTTGGCATTCTGACCTGGAAATGTCACTTGTGTAAAAACCATTTCTTCTCCTTCTAATCCCAAAATATATTGTGCATTGTGAAATATGCAAGGAATTAAGAAGCTGAGTATCTTAGCTCAGGCTGCCATAACAAAATACCATGAACAGGATGGTTTACACAAGAGAATTTATTTTCTTTCTTTTTTTCCCAAAAGTTTATTTATTTTGAGAGAGAGGGAGGGAGAGAGACCAGGAGGGGCAGAGAAAGGGAGAGAGCGAGAGAGAGAATCCCAAGCAAGTTCTGCACGGTCAGCACAGAGCCCGATGCAGGGCTTGAACTCACGAACTGCGAGATCATGACCTGAGCTGAAAGCAAGAGTCGGATGCTTGACTGACTGAGCCTCCACCCAGGCACCTGAGAATTTATTTTCCTCGTAGTTCTGGAGCCTGGACGACTGAGGTCAGGATACGATCATGGTTGGGTTTTGGTGAGAGGGCTCTTCCTGGTTTGTAGAAAGCTGTCTTCTCACTCTATCTTCCCAGAGCAGAGAGAGGGGTCTCTTTCTCTTCCTCTTCTTACAAGACTACAGTCCTACTGGATGAAGGAACTGGATTAGGGCCCTCCCTTACAACCTCACTTAACCTTAGCTGCCTCCTTAAAGACATTACCTCCCCGATGCCGTCACATGGGGCTGGGGCTTCAACATATGAATTTGCAAGTGGAGGCAGGCACAACTCAGTTTATACTATGAGGTTATAAAAATCTGCTGAACTAAGGAGTTCTCCATTCAATATCCAGCACATAGTAACTCAATGTTCGATGAATGAACAAATAACTGGGTAGATGAACAATTACTGACTTACTATATTCAGACACAGAGCAAACTCAGGAGGGAGGAGTGTGTCTGCAAAGGCAAGTAACAACCTGAATCCTTGTGATTTTTAAGAAGTCCTAAGGATCAGGGGCGCCTGGGTGGCTTAGTCGGTTAAGCGTCCGACTTTCGCTTAGGTCATGATCTCGCGGTTCGTGGGTTCGAACCCCGCGTCGGGCTCTGTGCTGACTGCCAGCTCAGAGCCTGGAGCCTGTTTCAGAGTCTGTGACTCCCTCTCTCTCTCACCCCCCTGCTCACGCTGTCTCTCTCCTAGAAATAAATAAAAAACAAAAAAAAATAAAAAAAAAAAAAAAAAAGAAGTCCTAAGGATCAAATAGCAAAGAGGCATATCTTCGACATTTGCCTGATGGATGGATTACTTTCCTTTCAGACCAACAGCCTGAAGAACAGAAGAAAGACAAAAACCCAGATGATCAAGCCCCAGCACATTCCTAGCGTCAGGACCTAAATCTGCCCTCAGCGGTTATAAGAAGAGTCCCACATATAATCTCCACCATCTAGTGCCCTTTGGATAGGTGGTCAATGCCAATGGATAGAAATAGGCCAGTGAGGAAAGCCTTGAGCCTGGAAAGGTCCAGAACATGGGCCAATAATGAATCTTCTGTCACAGCAGCATACATAACTCATATGCCACTCACTAAGTTAAACTTACTTCTACCGGGCTTTCCAGAACCACTAGAGAAGAGCAAGGAATAGCAACAGGAACAAAGGAGAAGCTTGTCCTTTAGTCACGAACAGTACAAATAAACCTTATCATTCCCATTCATTCATCAAATCTTTACAAAATGTCTACTATGTGCAGAGTACTTTCCTAATGTTTTGGAATCGTCAAAGAGGAATCAGGGATGGGGGTCTACCCTCAAATAATCTGGTCTCTAAGATGACATGCTCAGGTTAGAAAAGCCCTAGGGAAGCTGAAGATGATTTCTGCACAAAGTAAAGCTGCTTGGGGATTTAGGGACCCAGGGGTCACCATCTGTGACCCCCCAAAGGCAGACTCCTCCCTCCCCTTTGCTTAACAGAAACCCAATTCTGAGATCCCTAGGACTTGATATCTTGGACTCAGATAAGGGACACTCTCTACAGCCACAGAGGCAGACTCATGATTGCTCTCAAGTCGCTACGGAAATCCAGTTGCCAACAATGAGTCACAGGTCTTGGCGTGAGCACGTGATCTGGTCTGGCTATGACGTAACAGAAAACGTGTGTGGGGACCAGGGGCGGGGGGCTGCCCTCCCCGCAGAGTCTTGAAAAAGAATAAGAGCCTTTTTTTTTTCTTTTAATGTTTTATTTATTTCTAGGAGAGAGAGAGAGACAGCGTGAGCAGGGGAGGGTCAGAGAGAGAGGGAGTCACAGACTGAAACAGGCTCCAGGCTCTGAGCTGGCAGTCAGCACAGAGCCCGATGCGGGGCTCGAACCCACGAACCACGAGATCATGACCCAAGCAAAAGTCGGACGCTTAACCGACTAAGCCACCCAGGCGGCCCCCCCCTTTTTTTTTTTAAATGTTTAGAATAAGAGTCTTTTATAAGAGCCCCCATCTCTTCCTACAGCCTAAAGGATTCTGTGATGAGGCTGTCATGCTTGGGATGGTAGTTGTCATGCAGTAGTCATGAAGTGACACGTCTAAGGATGTAAGCCAGTAGTAAGAAGCATAGAATACACACACACACACACACACACACACACAAAGCAGAAATAATCAGTTTTTACATGATAAAAACACCTGAAATGCACCCGCTCGGTAAATTTTTAGGTCTACAGTATTATTAACTGCATATACACTGTTGCACAGTGGAGCTCTAGAACATTCCCACGTTGCACGACTGAAGCTTTAAACTCTTTAAACAGCATCTCCTCAATTCTCCCTCTCCACCACCTCTCTGACCCTGGCAACCAACAGTCTACCTTCTGTTTGACTTTGACGACTTAGATACCTCATATAAATGGGATCATGGACCGGTTTACTTCACTCAGCATCCTGCTCTCAAGGCTCATCTGTGTTGCAGCATATGACAAAATACATACCTTTGGTCATAAATACCTACACATCTATGTATCATGAAAATGAAGAAGAAGGAGGGGATAAAATTGGGTTGAGGGGATTACACTGGCCAGGCTTTAATGTGCATTGTCAGAGGATTTCAAATTGACAGCATCCTGTGTTTTCAGGGAGTTCAAAAGTTCAGGGCTAAAATGACACCTCCACCAAGGGCACAGAAATTCTTCTTGAGCCAAATGCAGCTGAATCTTTTATATCTGTCTCTTTCGTTCATTTGTAAAACAATTTCCTCCCTTGGGGAAGTGGGGGAGAGATGATGATGTGCTTACTTAAAAACTCAATTTTGCAGTTTTCTAAACAAAGCCCATTTGTCTAAATGCTCAGTACTTAGAGACATTATAAGACGTCTGTCTGTTAAAAAAAGGGGGGGGGGGCACCTGGTGGCTTTGTCAGTTAAGTATCTGACTTCAGCTTGTGTCATGATCTTGTGGTTCTTGGAGTTTGTGGGTTCAAGCTCCATGTTGGGTTCTGTGCTGACAGCTCAGAGACTGGAGCATGCTTGCGATTCTGTCTCCCTCTCTGCTCTTCCCCCACTCATGTTCTGTCTCTCTCTCTTTCTCAAAAATAAATAACCATTTAAAAGAAAGTCTTTTTGGGGGCGCCCAAAAAGTCGGTTGAGAGTCCGACTTCGGCTCAGGTCATGACCTCACGGTTCGTGGGTTCGAGCCCTGCATCGGGCTCTGTGCTGACAGCTAGCTCAGAGCCTGGGGCCTGTTTCAGATTCTGTGCCTCCCTCTCTCTCTGATCCTCCCCTGCTCATGCTGTCTCTATCTCTCTCTCAAAAATAAATATTAAAAAAAATAAAATAAAAGAAAGTCTTTTTGAACCTGCTAGATTTGGGGGGATACAGGGTGTGTGGTCTTGACAGCTTTGTGGCCACTGCCGTACAATGTCTATAAAGGAATAAGCAACAAAGAGGAAGCAGCAGCGTGCCTTTGACGCACAAGCTTAAATACCCTCTGCTCAGGGTCATGGAAAGAGCCTAAATGTCCATCAACTGACGAATGGATCAAGAAGATGTGGTTTATCTATACAGTGGAATGGTACTTGGCAATAAGAATGCAATGTGGCCATTTGCAGCAACGTGGATGAAACTGGAGGGTATTGTGCTGAGCGAAATAAGTCAGGCAGAGAAGGACAGATACCATATGTTCTCACTCATATGTGGATCTTGAGAAACTTAACAGAAGACCATGGGGGAGGGGAAGGGGAAAAAAGTTACAGAGAGGGAGGGAGGCAAATCATAAGAGAACAAACTGAGGGTGGATGGGGGTGGGGGAGAGGGGGGAGTGGGTGATGGGCATGGAGGAGGGCACTTGCTGGTATGAGCACTGGGTGTTGTATGGAAACCAATTTGACAGGCTATTATATTTAAAATATCAATAACATAAAATTCAAGTTAAATATCACCGAAAAAATGGAGGGGGGGCGCGAAGCACTGATTAACATGACCACATGCATGAATCTCAAATGCATTACACTAAAAACAAAAGAAGCCAGACTCAAAAGGCAACACACACTGTACTACTTCATTTATGTGACATTCTGGAAGAGGCAAAGCTACTTAGAAGACAGATGAGGGCTGTCCAGGGCTGGGGGGAGGGGCTAACTATGAAGGAACACAGGGGAATTTTGTTAAGTAATAGGATTACTCTGTATTTTAATTCCTTAAAAGTGACAAAACTGCATTTTAAATGGGTGGTTTTGGGGCTCCTGCATGGCTCAGTCGTTAAGCGTCTGACTTTGGCTCAGGTCATGATCTCACAGTTCATGGGTTTGAGCCCCGCAGCCGGCTGTCTGCTATTGGCACAGACCGCCTTTGATCCTGTCTCCTTCTCTCTCTGCCTCTCCCCTACATTCTCTTCTCGCACGCGCTCTCTCTCAAAAAAAACATTTTAAAAAGGGGTGAGTTTTACTATTTATGAATTATGCCTCAATAAAACTGACTTTTAAAAAAATGAAGGTTCTATGTGTAGCAACATGGATGGACCTTGAGGGTGTTATGCTGAGCGAAATAAGTCAGGCAGAGAAGGACAGATATCATATGTTTGCACGTATAGGAGGATTAGGAGGAACTTGACGGAGGAACAAGGGGGAGAAGAAGGGCGGAAATGGTGGGGGAAAGGGAGAGAGGCAAACCATGAGAAACTCTTGAATGCTGACAAAAACTGAGGACTGATGGATGTGGGGGGGAGGGGGGATGGGCATGGAGGAGGGCACGTGTGGGGATGAGCACCAAGTGTTATGTGGAAACTAATTTGACAATAAACTATTTGTAAAAAAAAAAAAAAAAAAAAAAAAGAAGGTTCTGTCCTTCCAGAAAGGTAGGTGGACAGGGTCACACACGACTGTCTCCATGTCGCCCTCTGCCATCTGGTTCCGACAGCGCAACTGGTCTTGATTTGTGGCAGGAAACAGAAACCGCACCAGGTATTTCAATCAGAAAGGGGGTGGATATGGGAATCTTACAGAATCTCTGAAAGGCGTGGAGGTGCAAAGACCCCTTCCACTTTTTATTTCAAGGACACACCACCGTAGATTAAGGAGCCATGGTCCCAATGCTGGGAAGCCGCAGCTGCTGCCGCCCCCACAGCCCCTCCCGCCATGACCTGCCCACCAGCAGCACCAGCAAAAGGAACTTGGGCTCCATGTCAGGCTTCCAAGTCTCACACAAATGCATTTATGAAACCGATCGTGTGTTCAGACACCTAGCTGTGCGGAATTCCGGGACTGTGCTATTGTTAGGTGTCCCATCAGGGAGGTCCAGAGGGTCAATCCTGGCATCTGCCTCCTCCCTGTCCTACCACAAGGATATTCTTTCTGAAGACAGCACAACAAAAACCTTTTTCTAAATCTCAATTTCAAACGGTGCAAAGAGAGTTGAAAGACTGCTAATGGGTAAAACCAAGATCCTAACTCATTTCATTATGGAAGAGTATTTCATTTCCACATGCAGTGAGTTCTAGCCTCAGCAGAATAAAATTTTAAGATCACTGCGTTTGATAATAGAGCCAGCCACAGTTCTACTCTGACTCATATATTAAATACACACTGGTCTTTGAGTTTTATTCTGCTGGGAATTGAATAGACTATGCTTGAAAATGCATTCATTCTCCAGGTATCTGTAAGTTGTTTTACAGTTAAGCCAGAGCTAGAGGAGGGGAGTGTTTGATTCATAATAAGAAAGAGGTTTTTGTCCCCATTCTGGGCACAGAGCTCCTAGAAGTCTTGCAATTCCCTAAGGGATGAGAGAGAGAGACAGAGACAGAGACAGAGAGACAGACAGAGAGAGAAGGGGGGGGGAGGTGTTTTTTATTATGTTAATGAATGACATTTAGAAGGCCTTTAGCCCCTAGGGTAGGACACAGTTTCCAGGGGAACTAGCACTGATTAGACAAGGAAAACTTTCAGTCCCACCCCCTGACTTCCAGGGAAGGGAGAGGGGCCGGAGGTGGAATTCAATCACAGATGATTTAATTAATCAGCCCTATGTAATAAAGCTTCCATAAAACCCCAGAAGAACAGGGTCCAGAAACTTCCAGGTTGGTGAACACTTGGAGGGCTGGGGGGGGGGGGGGGGGGGGGGGGGGGGCATGGAAGTTCGTGAGCCTTCATCTCTTCCATCTGTTCCTGAATTACAACCTTGTAAACTGGTAACTATTTCTTGGAGTTATCTGAGCTGTTCCCGCAAATTATCCAAACTCACGTTGGGG